TTTGGTTGAATTAACGAAATTTGACCTGATTTTCCTTATCAATTATATACGTTTCATTATTCGGCATTTTTAAAAATCCAACATTTCTATCAATCGCGCTAACATTAATTACTTCAAGTGAGCCAAATTCACGAAACTTCAATGGACCATGTTTTGAAAACTGAGGGTTACGAACCCACTGCACATATACTAACATTGACCATTTATCATCATATTGATGAGAAAAAAAGTAACACACCTCACCAAAAAATTCTTGCATTTCTAAAATAACAGGTGCATTTCTATAATTTGCATTGCGATCAACCAAAAGCTTGGCCTTAAAAGATTATTAACTTATTAATAATTTATAAACTAAAATATTGTATAAAAAATTAAATTTATACATACGGCAATGCAGAAATTCCTACGTGCTACATCACCCTTACGATTAGATAGTCTTGAATTTATTATTATGCCTTGTCTTGTTTGAAGTTTTCCATACTTCCGAACAGTATTTGTAATTACCTTAAACAAATAAATATGAGAAACAAGTATAAAATTTTTTATAACAGCTAAGTAAAAAAATCTTACATTTAACCGATTTATAGGTTTATTTAATGCTGTCGCATAATAAGCTTTAAGACGTTGTATTTCAGGCTTTTTATTTATATTAGCTTTGAATTGAAGAAGTGAAAACTGGTTCCACATCGTAATCTGGTTTTGAAGATTAGTGTCTAATATTTATTGACAAGCATACTGTTCTGGAAGATTGCCTTGCAATAATGGAATCGAATATAACACTATCCAATTTAGCCAATGTTCAGCTTTAAACGCTGAGGAATGCCGATGAATATCAATAGGTGGACAGCCAAAACTTAAAGGCATATTTTTTTTGTTTTTATCCATTACTTTTCCAATGTCTGTCCACACACTATTAGGAATAATATACTCAGAATTTGATAATTTATTATCTTTAAAAAACAAACCAAACCAATGTCAAAGCATTGATGGATGGAGTAATATTTTCAAATAAACCGTGCATGATACAACAGGAAATGAATCGGGAAACTTAATTGACTTAAGTTCAAGTAAGTCACTTCGACTATTAATACCTAAAAAATAGATAAACTAATATATTATTTAAAATATAAATAAATATTCGAATTAATAATCTACCTCTTTCTTGAACTTCACGTTTACGTGATGATCCATTTAAACATTCTATAGCAGTAATATTTAGCAAATAATCCTCATGTGTCCGTAATGGAAGATTTTTAGGATCATATTGACATCCTAACACACCATTTGGAGGCTTAAGTGGAAAATAAATATGCTAATTTTCTTTACAACATACACCATGAATAGAACTAAACTGACAAGCTTTATAAGAGTTATGTTCAGTTGTACACATAACTTTGGTAAGTGCTGGAATATCACCCGATCAACTTAGAATATGAGCATGAAGAATAAAAGTTTCTTCTGTTACACCATCAATACATCAAATACCTTCTGTATTAATTATAACAAAATTTGATAAATATAATATTTGAAATAAGCAAAAGTTATCTAAAGCCAGATAGTTTTTAAATTAATAACTAAAAATTGTAAACCAAAATTATGTGATATATATACTGTAAATTACTATATACCTGGCTTTAGATAATCTATTAAATATATTAATAATATCTTGCAGTTGTTTTAGTTCATCCACTAGTGGTCACAAGAAAGTATTAAAGTTTTTTGGCACTTTTGGTCCCGGAATTAATGCAGAGATCATTAAGTTTTTACGTTGAACACGTACATCAGGTGGCAAATTTGCATTTATAAAGAGAATAACCCAACAATCATCTCTTTTTTGACGAAATATTTGATACCCGTCAGTAGATACTATTAGAGCAATATCTTGATAATCTAAAAAAAGTCTAAAAGAAACTAAGGACTTATATTGAAGACCATCAAAGATATCAGCTATTTGGTCACCAATTTCATAATCACGTGTTGTGGTATAAATATGCCAGTAACGAAGAGCTTCAGCTCGAGTTTTGTCTCTATATTGCATCTGAAGTGAGCTTACAAGTGGCCAGTAGGCAGCACTTTTTCTAGATTTCCCTGATGCTTTGCCAAATTTATAGCAAGGCTCATTACATTCTGAACAGTATTTCATATTAATAAATTCGTTCATAAATGCTATACATGAATTAATACAGCAATCTATAAGTGTTGGTTTAAAAGATACAAGATTTTTAAAAAGCCTTTGTAGTTTGTAAAGCGTGATTTCAGAAATCTCTAATATTTTAAGAATTTCATTAAATGCTGCGTCTGAGATATTATATTGGTTTTTGATTCGAAAAAGTCGCAAGCCCTTGAATAAATTTTCTGAAATAATCATTAATATATAATATGATAGTATTAAAAAATTTATATATTTTTAATAATAAGCTTACCAATATCAAATTCTTCACCACATTCATCACTGCACTCCTTGTTATATTCTTCATTATATTCCTCATCATCATATCTGTTATTGTCATATTTTTTATTATACTCATTTTCTTCCTCACTACTTTCATCGTATTCATTGTTATATTCATCATCATATTCATTGTTATATTTATCATCGTATTCATTATTATATTCATCATCTGTCTTATTATATTCACTATTATACTCCTTGTCATATTCATCATTATACTTATTATCATCTATATTACACACTCCATATTCCTTTTTGCTCTTTAATATTTTATAATTATTGCTAAATAAGTTATTTGATTCTATATTAATCCAATTTTAATTTTTTTTACCTTGATTAGTACACGATAATGTCACTACTAGAACAGCGGATGATGTTAATACAGTCGTTGAAGAAATTTGTAAAATAGGAGTAACTAGACGTCTCTCTTGAACTGGAATTTGTGCTGGATTAGGCCAAGTATTTTTTTGCTTTAACGAATGTCTTGCATGAGTTGATTTACTAACTAATTTGCCCTGGCCATTTGATTCTTGCAGGCACCAGATACATGTACAAAGAACTTTATTATCCATATTATATTATTGAAAATATTTGAAAAACAAGTAAAAAAAAATTTACTTTCATATCTTATAAATAAATATAATATTTATTTAACTTTGTTATACTTTTGATCACCGAAATATCAATAACGAATAAATTAATATACTTAAAAATTGATATATAAATAATTGATAAATAAATGATCAAGTAAATAAATCTTTTAATTTCTTATTTGCGAACATAAAATAATAAATAAGTTTACTGTTTTTAATATTAGAAATGCCTAATACCTCAATTAATATTCATACATTTAATTATAAACAGCGTCATCAATGTTTCCTTAAATTGTTTGATATGGATCCATCTCTAATTAATGCACTAAATTCTGAGCAACGTCGTCGATTATATTCTGTGCTAATTGCCATTGATCCTTCTCTTACAGAATCACTTTTAGATGCACGTAGTGCAGTGCGTGGAATAATTAATGAACAAGTAAAATTTTTTTTACTATTGTTTTATTTGATAATTAAATACTAAATATATTTTATAGTTTCCAAAAGGGTCAACAATGAACCCAATTACGTTTAATGAATATAAAAATTATAAAGAGACTCAAAAAAAAGTTATAAAGGATGTACAGTGGTATGAGTTTTTAAAACTTGATAAGAAGCAATATCTAAACTTTCAAGTAAGTTATGTATTGTTATTATCGTTATAATATTTTTATTACTATCTGATTATTTATTTTTTAGAATGATTTACGAAATCGTGCGGCTTCTCGATTCTTGCATGGAGTATCTTTATCCCGCCAACAAAAAGGAAAGGCTAAAGAGATTATAAAAGAGGTAAAACTATAAATTTTTAATATTTATTTAAAGACAAAAAAGCTAAAGTTCATATCTATGATAGTTTAATGAAGCTAATTCAACGTTTCCCATCTCTGAAGCTGACTTTATTCTTCATGAGTGGCTTACGTCATATTGCAATAGTATGGTATTCAATTTTTTTTTATAAATCATGTAATTATCAAATACATTAACTTGTACTCACAATAGTTGATCAAGAAAAGAAAAAAAATTTAATGAAGCAAAGGCAAAGGGATATACATTGCCACCCAAGAAAAAAAAATGTTAACCCTCCTATTAGAAGGCGTAACGATACTACAGATAATATTAATGCTGAAAGTGCTCTTAATCAAAGTGACACAGATGAGACTGATAATTCACAAGATTCTTTGGATGTTGATTAAAAAAAAATAATGTTACTAAAGCAAAAGCAAAGGAGCGTGTGCAACTACCAAAAAAGAAAAATGTCAAACCTTCTAATAGAAGCGTAATAATGCTACAGATAATATTAATGATGTTGAAAATACTCTAGATCAAAGCAACATGGATGAGGCTGATAATGCGCGAGATTCTTTGGATATTGATCAAGAAAAAAACAACAATGTTACTAAAGCAAAAGCAAAAGAGCGTGTGCAACCACCAAAAAAGAAAAATATCAAACCTTCTATTAGAAGGTGTAGTGATACTACTAATAATGTTAATTATGTCAAAAATACTCTAGATCAAAGCAACACAGATGAGGCTAATAATGTGCAAGACACTTTGGACGTTGATCAAGAAAAAAACAACGAAGTTACTGAAGTAAAGGCAAAGGAGCATGTGCTTCAAAATGTCAAACCTCCTATTAGAAGGCATAATGGTAACACAAATGGTATTAATATTGAAAGTGATCATGATCAAAGTGACACAGATGATACTGATAATGCGCAAGATTCTTTTGGCAATAATGGTAAGAACGATGCATGTATTTATATTTAGTAAACAATTTTAAGTCTAAAAAATTATTTATTTTTAGTAACCTTTTTGATCAAGATAATAATATACATAAAGCTGCACATAATTCTGATACTTTAACCACCGTAATTGACGTTGATGATAAATTCAGTCAAAATGAATCATTGACCCCTACAAAAAATAGATCAAGAAAGAATATTCAACCCTCTATGCGACCACGTAATACACAAATTAAAGTTATTCATGATCAAGAAATTACAAGTAAAAACAAAGGTATGTACGTACATGTACGCATGTACATATAGCATAAAACTTTATACCTGTGATGAATGTTACTAAAAAAATCGGTTTTTTAAAAAATAGATCAAAATAATATAATTCCTTCGGATAATGTATCATCATCACTAAAGAATATTCTTCGTTCTTCTCAAAAACATGGTAATATCAAAAGTGTTGAACACAATGACTCTGGCGTTTTGGATGAAATTGGTATGTAAGAATACTGTTAGAATAAGTGTTATATTGTTTTCTAATATCACATTATATAATTTACTTTATTTTATATAGGTGGAAAGAGAAAAAGGGAGCAGAAGGCAAAGGAACCATCTTCGCATAAAGCAAGAATTACAAAGAAAACCAAGAAAAGTAAAAATTAAGAACTTTATATTTTATTATATGCACATTCACTATTTATTATAATATATTACAAATAAATTCTAGCTTTTATCCATGCAAAAAATATATATATACCATTTTAGTTCAGTAAAGTTTCCATATTACTTATATAAGTAATGTCATATATTCTCAGCGAATTATCCGTATTACTTGCATAATTTGATAAAAAAATTTTATAACTTCTTCTTTTATTATTAGCAATGTTTCCAGTTAATTTCCATTATCCAATACAAATTTGTTTTATTATTGCACAAGTTTCCGTGAAGTTTTTGTATAATTTCCATTATTTTATTAAAATAATTCCATGGATAATCCGTAAATATGATACATTTATGGAAGAAATATGGAAATCGTTATTTAGTAATTTAAATGGAAAAAATATGGAATTTATGCACTGAAAATCATGGATAAATAAAGCTCAATATTTTTTATAGGGTCTTTTTACCTGTGCTGAAATTTATAAATAAATAAATATATAAATAAATATATATATATATATATATATTACACTATCGCTATCATAGAAAAAAGATTCGAAAATATTTTGAAGTGTCACGGAATACTGTATTCCGTGATTGAATTTTCTTTTATGTTCAATATCCCGTAAGACAAAATCACGAAATAAAGGTCATACTCCGTGATTGAAATTCCTATTTTTCAATGCTACGTAAAACAAAATCACGATGTCCATCTATTTGTGACTAGTATTGTCCAATTTTTAAGGGTTTTGGTCGTAGGTTACCTAATTTGATTGATCATTTAGGCTTTGCAGAGTTTTGGAAATCATTTCCACAATTGTGGAAATAATTCCCATGCATCACTACACCCGATAGTGGTGCAAAAATTCTATAAAATAGTAATACACTAAACAGTTTCTTTGTTCTTTCCCACATTTAAAAAGTAAAAATGAATTATAATAATTCAGATTATCATGAGAAATCAGTTGATTTAGATCCTTATACCCTTGGAAAAAATTATCAACATGGGATAGGGGTCGAAAAGGATGAACATAAGGCATTCATTTATTATCAAAAATCTGCAGAGATGGGATACGCTAAAGGGATTTATAATGTTGGATGTTGTTATATTAATGGAGTTGGAGTTGGAAAAGATGGACATAAAGCATTCATTTATTATCAAAAATCTGCAGAGATGGGATATGCTAAAGGAATGAATAAAGTTGGATATTGTTATGAAAATGGAATTGGAGCTGAAAAAGATGAATACAGAGCATTCACTTATTATCAAAAATCTGCCGAGATGGAGGACGCTAGTGGAGCATATAATGTTGGATATTGTTATCGAAATGGAATTGGAGTCGAAAAAGATGATCATAAAGCATTCATTCATTATCAAAAATCCGAGGAAATGGGGCATGTTAAGGGAACATATAATGTTGGATATTGTTATGAAAATGGAATTGGAGTTGAAAAGGATGAATATAAGTCGTTCATTTATTATCAAAAATCTACCGAGATGGGGGACGCTGATGGAACATATAATGTTGGATGTTGTTATCAAAATGGAATTGGAGTTGAAAAAAATGAACACAACGCATTCATTTATTATCAAAGATCTGCCGAGATGGGGAGCGCTGATGGAACATATAATGTTGGATGTTGTTATAAAAATGGAATTGGAGTCGAAAAAGATGAACAAAAAGCATTCATTCATTATCAAAAATCTGAAGAAATGGGGCATGTTAAGGGAACATATAATGTTGGATATTGTTATGAAAATGGAATAGGAGTTGAAAAGAATGAACATAAGGCATACATTTATTATCAAAAATCTGCAGATATGGGGGACGCTGATGGAATGAATAAAGTTGCATATTGTTATGAAAAAGGTATTGGAACTGAAATGGATGACTGTAAAGCCTTAGAGTATTTTATAAAATTAGATAATTTTGCTGGAATGAATAAAATTAAAAATAAATATCAAATAACATGGATTCCTTATAGTGAATTCAAAAACATTAATGAAATTGGAAAAGGAGGATTCGCAACTATATATTATGCTCAATGGGAATTTGATGTTGCATTGAAATTAATTCGTAAAACACAAGGCCGAATTCAAGATTTTTTAAATGAGGTAATTTATTATTTATGAATGTTAATATTAATGTTCTTTAATTAAATGTATTTAATATTATAGTTGCAGGCTTATTATGAAGTTGGAAAGGAAAATCCTTTATTTTTTAAATGTCATGGTATATCGATAGATAATGAAGAGAATTATATTCTTGTTTTGGACTATGCAATTATGGGCTCTCTGCGTAAAAATCTTTTTAAAGTATCGCGGTTATCATGGAAAGATAAATTAAATCTATTACTATTCATTTCAACTGATCTTCAAACAATTCATTCTCGAAATCTTATTCATCGAGATTTGCATAGTGGTAATATTTTACAAAACAAGTTATATAACGCGTATATTGCAGATTTGGGTCTTTCAATTCAATTTCAAAAACAAAAAGGTGAAATTTATGGAGTCTTACCATATATTGCTCCAGAAGTCTTGCAAGGAGAATCATTTACGCAAGCAGCAGACGTTTACAGCTTTGGAATCATAATGGCTGAAATAACAACTGGACAAAGACCTTTTGATGGTGTGCCATTCGGTAATGATCTCTCATTAAGGATTTGCAACGGGTTACGACCTGAGCTCGCTCCAGGAACTCCCGAATGTTATGTCGAATTAACTAATCAATGTATGGATTCTGATCCTAATGAAAGACCTGACGCTGAATTAATTAAGTTTTTTTTTGAAACTTGGATTAATGAACTAAATTTAGTTAAAGAAAACGAAATCAAAGATCAGTTTCAAAAAGCTGATGAAATAATAAATAATATTTCAGTTACTGAGCACAAACATCCGGATCACATGTATACGAGCAAGCTCATCAATACGCAAGAGATTACTCAAAAGTTGTCGGAAATTGTATTTGGTAGCAGAAATATGGATGACATGGAAATTCCTTAGATATATAATTCGTATTTAATACGTCCGCGAAACACCATATTATATTTGGGGGAGTTTTTTTTTTTGTTTTAAATATAAAATCTTTTTTGCAATTTGTCTATTTTTTGAATATTACATATAAAAACAAATGTTATCTCGGGAGTGTTATTTAAAATTTATACCGATAACATATAGAGTCCGTATTATTTCATCGACAATCCTCACTCAAAAATCTTCAACTTATTCATTTATGGATGTTAAAAAAGACGTAATGGATTCTGATGCAAGGATTTTTATTTGATAAATTAAAGATATAAAGAATAAAATAGATGTACTCTTTTAAAAGTTGATCATTAAAGCTACTAAACTTTATATTATTCGCATTTTAAACACTGGTTGGATATTAATTAATTGAAAATAAATTTTTACTACTAAAAACAGTAAAATCTATTGTACTATATACGTGGAACCAAAGTATATTCACATTTTTTAAAATAAAATTCTCACACGGCAGAAGGTTTTTGTAATGCTGAGCATTGTTACTTAAAAAGTCTAATATTGAATGTTTAATCCGTTTTAAGAAAAGCAGCTAGTTAATCAGACTTCGTTTCTAAATAGAATAAAATTAGTAAAAACGTCATATACTATGCTGAAGGGTCATAGATTATGTCCATTAATTTAAATAAAACCAATAATCACTTGAATCGCATCGCATGAATGGAGCGCAAGCCGACGAGACGATTTGAGATTTATTGTTAATGTAATTAAACAATTGACACTAAAGAATTCAATGTTCTGTAATTTAATATTAATTCAACGATATATCAACAATTCCTTCAGTCACTTTAATCAAGTAGAATTCAATGTAATAATTTTAATTAGAGTGAAACAGAAACTTGTATTCTAATTATCATAAAAAACATTGAGGATTAATTTACTAAATTTATGATTTTACAAATTTGTTAAATAAAGTCATGAATACAAATTAAAATTTTTATAAAAGTTTTTAAATAAATTTAATTTAAATAGTCGTTTTTAATATCCTTTATAAGCATCTAAATTTCCATTCCAATATTTTAACAATCTCGAATTTTTTAATTCTATCCATTTATCATTCATTAAATTATCTTGTAATATTTCTTTAACTACTCTAACACCAGAATTTAGAGCACCAAGAATCCAAGCATTATGTATATCAGTGTGTTCACCTGCCCAATGTATAAAATCTTCAGATCTCATCATTGCACCCATCAAATATTTTACCTGCCCAACTCCAAATTTAGCATAAGCGCCTCCAACAACAGTTTTATCATTTGGCCAATAATGAGCTTTATTATTTTCTTTACCAGGAATCCATTCTTTTCTTGCTATCTCACCATGAAGAGTTACTATATCCTTTAATGCAAGTTCAAAACATTCTTCTTCAGTGAATGGAGCATATTTTGAAGCATCATTATCCCAAGTATAAGAAGCTAATAGTACTCCAGGGCCATCTTCAGGTAGACCTTGGTAATATGAAGGGTATACAACAGTACGAACAGGAAGATCAGTTGATGTGGTTCCACCGACAATACCAACGTTTGAGGTCGTTTGCAAAGCACCAGTTTCTAGAGGGGATTTTTCCCAGAAACGACTCTTGAATTGTAAAAATATTTTTCCAGCGTTTAGATAATCGAATTCGCGTAATGCACGTCGCTTATCATATGATAATGCTATTAAAAAAAATGATTGATTAAAAATTTTGCTTATGATAATAGTACTTTACTTAACACTGTTTTTTAAACTTACTTGAAGGTAAATCCCAATGACGGGTACAACCTATAGGAGCTGTAACAACCACTCTATCAAAGACATCAGAATCTTTCTTTCCTTTAGATTTCCAATGAACTTTAACCTTTTGACCATCTTCAGTCTTTTCCAATTTATAAACTTCAGAATTATATTTTAAAGTATAATTCGCCTTCTTAATTAGTGGTAAGAATGCATTAGGTAATCGTTGCATTCCTTTATCAATAGTTGTCCAACTTAAATTAAAATTAGGATTAAAAGTGTATTCTTCCATAGCTATATCAACTAAGCCATACTTGAATTCACCTAAAATATAATTTTTTTTCAATAAATAAGTGAAGATAAATTAATATAAAAAGTATAAATTTATCAATACATTTTATCAAATACATGTAGTTCATATTACATACCTATTCCCATTTTATTTATTTCAATAGCTTTAATAATTTCGTCATAATCATCCGATTTTGTTGGTAATTTTTTAGGAAGATAGACTTCTCTTAAATAAGTGTAGGTAGTATAATAATCATACTCTTCTAAAGCTTCAAGACCACTTGTAAAATTTTTATCAAGTTCATCAAAAAAGGGTGATAATGCTTCATCAAAATAATTAACATAGTCATCTGGGATTTTATCAGGGTAGCCTAATTGAGTAACTTTGGCGGTTTTGGTGAAATTTTTAGTCATCATTTTATTATTTGGACCTTTTTTATCATTGAAATAAGACAGAGCACTATTATATTTTGATGTAAATAATAAAACATTTGAATACGTACGAACGTGGACATAAAAAGATAAGTTAAAATAATATGTATACAAATATATTGTAAGTTATATATACAAATATATTGTAAGTTATATATACATAAGATAAAAATTACATACTCTTGATTGCTGTATATAAAAGGAATAGTTTTAACTTGCAATTCTGGGTTGTCTTCTTTATTATATTCGTTCAAATAATCAATTGTATCAAGAACTAATTGATGTTGAGAAAGATCTGGACGACCATCAACATAAGGTATTCTCATTGCACCAAGTTCACCATATAAACGCCTATCATCATTAGGATCATCTGTAAAATAGTGGGTATGAACACGTCCACCAACACGATCTTGATATTCAAGAATAGTAACATCTTCAATACCAGCTTCTTTTAAAAGAAGAGCTGTAAGTAGACCTAATAGAGTATAAAATTTATTTATACAATATGTAAAAAATAATATTAAAGCGTGAATATAAAAGAAAAAGAATATATACCAGCTGTTCCGGCACCGATAATACAGATTTCTAATAATATTTATTTATATTGTTAATAATTTGTTGACGTTTGTTAAATATTTACAATGTTAATAATCGAATGAACAAATAAAAAGAATAAATAAAAGATACGTTACTTGGATTCTCATTTGGAGTACTTCGAGGATTTATCCCAATATTATCATCACTGATTCTAAATATAATTAGAATATTAACATAAAAAACTTTTTATTACTGTAATTATATTCATCTAATATAGTATTTATAACCCACCTTTTATGATAATCTTTATAGTAATAATTTTTTATATGTGCCCTTTTTCGCAGATCCTCGTCGCGTCTTTCAAATTGAACCGCTTTTCAAGATATTAAAAACATTACAATTATTAAAGATAATTCGCCGCAATCGGTTATAATTTTTAAATAAATGAAAACTTACAATCTAACAATAAAAATAGCTATTAGTACGTGCTAAACTAAAATAGATAAGCTCTTGAAGTAGTGGTAGCATTTTTATAACATTTTACTTACATCCTACTGTATTAATTTATCATGAAAAAGAATATATACATATTAATAATTAATCAATAAATCCGTTATTAGATTAAGATATACATACGACCTATATAACAAAAAAAGTTGTTCAAATACATTAATAAATTAATAATCACGTTATTTTAAATTGAATTTATATTTATAAAAAGCATTACTTTGAGCAATTATTGGGAGAATTAGCACGACATTAATAATTAATTGAAATTTTAATGATAACATTATGTTGAATATATCAAAAAAGAAAAAAAAAATTTCTTTGAGGTCTAAAAGTTCGAAGCAGTGCGTAATATATATATATATATACCTTTTAATTTTCCAAATATATTAAATTTTTATTTTAGGAAAAACAAAATGAAAAATGCAACACATGCATGTTTTACGTATTAATACAATTAAATAATAAAGTCATTACTAGAATTGATATATAATGAATGATCTTGAAGCTGCATCCGATCGTGTTCTCTAAAATTAGATTTTTGTAATACAATCATAATTGGACTGGAAATGCACATTTAGAGTTGGGGTGATTAGCGCATGCATTTATGGAATTCTGGCTGTGATCCGCAGGTGCTTTAGGAACACAGACTTTTAACAGATTCTCTCCTTGTTTAGTGTGCTGGATGTTGTATATGGAAGTTTTCGTCTTTATTTTTTCCTGATTAGATAGTCAGTCAGTTTGTAATTGCTACTACAAACGAATAACTTTCGATATAAGAACCTTTGGGAAAAGAAAACTAATTAATTCGCTCGACATCAACATAAAAATTTTGTAAAAAAATTTATCGTAAATTCTCAAAATAGCGGGTACAGTATGAGCGTTGAGTTTTGGCCCTAATTAAGCTTAATTTAGGCCAAATTTCGTAAATTTATCCCTGGGTGTTATTTCGAGAATTTACGGTATGTATAATTCTTATGTTGCATATTAAGAAATTCTGTAATTGAAGTACAGAAGTACGTACGTACGTACGTATGTATTAACATTAAAATTATTTATTATAGATTGTTTTTTAGTTATTATTCCGATAAATGCAGGTAATTTTGGTTGTGAAATTTACCGTAATTAGGAAATTTTAATAAACTTTATCCGTATCTTTGAAAGCTTCTATTAATGGTATGTTATGTTTTTATTAATACTTATTAAAAGTCCTGAAAAGAGGTGACACAGTATTTCTACTCCGAGTATAAATTTAGTAAAATATGACTTCAAATTGGTGTTACCATTTAAAGCAAAATACAGTCAGACCCCCCTAAATGCACCCTCCCTAAATGCACGTCTTCTTTTGGGCCCAACTAATATTATATCTATAGATTTTTACCTCCTTAAATGCAATACCTCTCTGAATGCACGTGCTAGAGCTGGTCCCGACGACGTGCATTTAGAGAGGTCTGACTGTAGCTAATGATAATTTATTTTAGTATGAAAATGTATTCATTCAAGGTCTGTTAGTATGAATATGAATATCCGATAGCATGTATTTACAAAGACTTTCATGTAAAGAAGAAGCCGTATGCCCTTTGAACACTTCTCTTAATAAAGAGAAATTTCACAAATTCGTCTTTATAATAAATTGTCTATCTAAAAATTCTTTAATGATGCTCTTCCGTGAGACAGATAAAGTTTGAGTGAGACTTTGACTACAACTTTTCTTGTATGAAATAATAGCCTTTCTCCTAAAATTTATAAATAAAGTGAACTCTGAAGTACTGTACATGTTTTATAAGTTGCACAAAATTCTTTAATTAGGTAAAGTCTTGTGGCCCATAAATGGTTAAGTTTATAAACTTTAAAAATCGCTTTTATTTCATTGTAATAATTATTATTCAATTGATTTTCAATTTAAAGAAATCCGAAATTTTTTCACATCTTTATCTGATTTACACATAAATCTAAAGACAATTATCATTCTAAGGAGTGTTCCTAAGGCTTTTTCATAGAGGAACAATACGTTGGATTATATTAAGTCGTTGCTATTGGATTTGAATGGCCTCTCGGTAATAAATCTAATACAAATATATTCTTATTAATGTAAGCTTAAGTTTTTAGGCGTAGGCTTTAATTTACTGCAGGGCTCAATTATCATTAAGATCGAATCCTGATCGCCACAAAATTTAATGCGTAATATTGTATTAATATTTATCCGATAATTGTTCTATTGCATATATGAAAAGCAATTATTAATTTTATATAATACATTAATAAGTTGATAAATTAAGTTAGTACATTAGGGTTCCGCATGGGATAGACTATCCATGGATTGTTCAGAGTCGACCAGGGCGGCCCCCGAAGTGCGAATCGATGGCGCAGCCGCAGCAATAATTTACCAATCAGAATTGTATAATGATAATCGATATCAATTTTAAAGTAATGAACATTTATACTGGCTGGTGACTTTGAGATAAAAAGATCTAGTTACGGCTTTTCATCGATTGGTTATTTTTTTGATGCCGCTGCATCATCGATCTGCACTTCGGGGGCCACCCTGGTCGACATGATTGTTCATGGATCAGCCCTGCATGGACGGGCTTGGATAATTACGTAATATGGATTTTTTGTTTGGATCTGGTTTCAAAGATCCGGATCCATATGATCCAAAAATCTATGTGATCAGCGGAATTTTCAAATTTATATATGATCGATAACATTGTTTATGATAACATTGTTTACACTTGCAACACAGAACTTTATTGTATAGCCGCAAAAATTTTTTTACAGATCCGCTAGAAGACTGCCTATTCGACTATATATATATATATATATATATATTATATTATCAAGAAGCAAAGAAAAGAATGCTTTTAGGTGTGGCGTAAAGCCCAGCAAAGGTCATAGAGGTAATAAATTTTCCTAAAAGCACCGTCTATGATGTCATTGCCTATTGCAAAAAAACTGGAGACAAAACTGCTTCCTTGTCCTAGTGCAGCCCCTAAACTAAATGTGGTTCCTATCGTCCTATTCGCATTTTTTAAACAAGACAGAAGTCGGTAGCCCACATTATAAATTATCATCTCCCTTTAAGAATAAAAAAAGGAGAATTAGGCATGAAAACTGCTTGAGGAAATAATGCATGTACGTACGTACGTACGGTGCAGGAAATCTAAAAATCTCAATATTCTATGTATAGATGATGCATAAACTAGTAGCACATCGAACCTAAATTATCGATCTCAATAAGCAAAGAACAATATGTACATAATAGCATGCTATTGAGATAGTTTATCTTTAATGAGTTAGTTAACCTTTATTCTATATGAAGTGATTGAAGTTTTAAGGTTTCCTGCACCGTACGTACTGTACGTAGGCGATTTTTACGTCACGACTAATCTAATAATATCACGCAGGTGTCATTTTTTAGTCGAGTCGCACAGATCTACACAACAGCATCAGGATTAGTGATTTAAGCTGGCTATGGCAGCCGCGGCTAAGCTGGCTTAGCCGGCTGAGTCAGCCAATGTAATATGATCGGCTGGCTAATGCGGCTAAAGATGATATGATTTAGTATATAGTAGGATTCCGGTAAATTCCGAAAAGGAAAATAAATGAACATAAAATACAAGCTAAATTTACCGAAATTTTCCGGAAGTATGGTATTTAGCCAGCCGATTAGCCGATATTTTAGTCGGCTAGCTTAGCCAGCCGACTAAAACCTTACGGCTTAAATCACTAATCAGGATGTAGGAGGATTTGTCCGCACATGTGATAATCGACCAATGATTCAATTATGATCAGTATAATGTAACACGATCAGGAATAATTTAAAATTTGCCCGTTTTTCTAAAAACTGTTCATATCACAAAAATCTACATAACAAACATACTTTTGTGCCCTAACAAAAATTTTTTCTTGTGAAATTTTACTCTATAATATCAGTCCTTTCATAATAATTCTATTTCTTATCGTAAATATAATGAAAAATAAAAAATGCATTGATACTCACGTGTGCGGACAAATCCTCCTGCACGCTGTGTTTTTCGATCAACACATATATTGCTGCGATACATTCTAAAATCTGACGAAAATCCGACCATTACTAAACCTGTGTAATACAGTTAGAAATAATAAATTACGTCACCACAATTACCAATTAATGTAGAGATATATAGTTTGAAATTATATTGACAGGAAAATTTATTGAACGTCAATTACTGTATAAATTGCATTTCTATTCTATTGTTTTTACTATTAACTAAATTAACAATTTTCCCTAATACAAATTACAAATCAGATTAAAGTGTTCAACATGTTATCATTATTGACTTGAATCAGATAACTTTATCTTCTTTTTGCATCGTTCATCATCAGATGTTAAAAGTTCCTTAAGAATTTCTGATGCATACTCATTATTAGGATCAATTTCCAATAATTTAGTTAAATCGTCACAAGCATCTTCATATCTATTCATTTTATAATAAGTTTTACCTCGAAATTCTAATGTATCAGTGCTGTCCGGATCAATTTTTAATGCATCATTAAAATCTGCAAGCGCTTTTTCATACAATTCCATTTTATAATAAGTTTCTCCTCGAATTTCCAATGCTGATGACTTATCAGGATCAATTTCTAAGATCTTACTAAAATCCTCAATTGCCTCTTATATTTATTCACCGTGAGATAAAGTTTTCCTCGAAAAAGTAAAGCATGTGCATCGTTTGGTCTAATATCCAATGATTTAGTTAAATCTCTAACTCCTACTTCATATTTACATATATTGTGATGAGCAAAACCTTGCATACCAAACAAACTTAACGTGCCTCTATCATTAGGTCCAATTTCTCTTAATGTACTTAAACATGAAACAAAATCTGTAAATAAATCTTCGAATGTTATCATTTCATAGAGAAGAACTCCTCGACAACGCAGTGTAACTTCGTTATTTGGATCAATTTCTAGTGATTTACTTAGATCTTTAAGTGATTCATCATATTTATCCAAATTACGATGAGTAAGTCCCCTCAAACGCCATGTAATTTCATTCTTTTGATCAATTTCTAATGCTTTCGTTAAATCAGCAAGTGCTTCATTATATTTTCTCTTATAATAATAAGTAATACCTCTAGTTCTCAATGCATATTCATTGTTCGGGTCAATATTTAGTGATTTAGTAAGGTCTTCAATTCCTTCTTCATCTTTTTCCATTACAAGATAAACCCTTGCCCTAGCATCCAAAGATATTGTAGATTCTGGATCAATTTCTAATGATTTATTTAAATCATCAAGTGCTTCTACATAACGTTTTAATGAAAAATAACTTTCTCCTCTAAGATACAATGTGTGTGCATCATTTGGTATAATCTCTAATAATTTAGTTAAATCTTTAAGTGCATCTTCAAATTTATCCAAAATAAGGTAAGTATTTCCTCGAAATTTCAATGCGACCGTATTATCCGATTCAATATCTAATGACTTATTTAAATCTATTAATGCATCTTTTAATCTATCCATATAACAGTAAGTTTTCCCTCGAAGACTTAATGTAGCTGCATTATTTGGATCTATTTCTAAAGATTTAGTTAAATCCGCAAGAGCTTTATCATATTCATTTTTAGCTAAATGTTTTTTTCCGCATTTCATCAACGAAATTGCAATTGAGGTTAATTGAGATGTAAAATTTTGACAAGGAGCAGGAATTGAAGGTAATGAAATATTGGTTTGTGGAATATTACGAGGAGGTAAAATGGTTGAAGCAATAGTCATATTTGGAGCCACAAATTTCAACGTAATATCTTCCCATAAAGTTGAATCAAGAATTTTTTGAAAAGGAAAAACTTTCTCAGCAATTTCATCACCAGACATTTGAAAATAACGAATAAGAGGAAGACAATTCTTGAGAGTATCTTTCATAGTTAAAAAATCTTCATCAGACCATCGTTTAGGATTTAGACTTAAAGATAGATTCTGAGCAACTCCCCATTTAATAACATAATTCCAAATTTTTACTTCGTCAATTTGTAAACAATTAAGTTTCAAAATAGTGACCAAAATATCTTCAGAAAGGGTAATAAATTGTTTCGAATCGAAAATGATGCTTGGATGTTTAGAAATAATTTCAATACAAAATTGTTGTAAATTTTGAGAGCAGGATTGATAAACTTGAGAAAAATTCGAGAGCAACCAAGAAATGTTGTCGTTGATTAAAATTTGTTGAATATGTTTGACCAAATCTTCGAGATAAAATTCTTTAGATGCTATCAAAAGATCAAATATAGCCGATGGTTCAATTTTTTCTAATGAAATAATACCGTCATAGATATATCTAAATATTAAAGTTATACACGCAATAAGTTAAAAGGAAAATTATTTTATTAAAAAAATAAGCAGTATATATATAAATAAATAATTTTTTTTTTTTTACTTGATAATCATTTCAAAAGTTTTAGCGGAGATATCGGCTCTTTTAATCATTTTCAAATTATTTTCATTATTCATCACCGTTCTTAATATATCTTTAAAATACAAGCATCGAGATTTTAAAATGATAGAATGTGCTTTAAACACTTGATTATTTGGTGCTTCTCCAACTTCAGTAATAACATTACACTCATCATCGTCATCGGTTAAAAGGTCACTAAGATTTTTAGAAAGTATTTCAAAAAATTTTGTCATTTTGCAGTGTTTAGTGAGAAAAGTGATTTGTTTTGATTTTCGATCAATATATAACAAATTATTGCGTCATCCGTGTAACATTGATCCATTACAAATCCCGTGATAATAGTAGATACAACAGAGAATGAAAGATTTTTTTATGAACATTTTTTTCATTAAATAAAATTGTATAATAAAAGAACAATCTCTAATCATTGAAAAAATAAATTACTTTGTGTTATGTTTAAAATTGAATTCATACATCAAATTCACATACATCAAATTCATGAGACAATATTGTCCTTTATCTTTTATAAAAATACTGTTTGCCTGTCTAAGTTATGTTAACTCTACATGAAATAACCAAAATGTAAAATGTATACATACTAGTAATATAATAGTCAACTTAGTTCAACTAAGGCTAAAGCCATGGCTATAGCTTGTAAAAATTCATTTTTATTTATCTTAGTACATATACAAATGAATAATAAATAAAACAAATAATAAAGGGTAGCTTCAATCACAACTATCCCAAATTTTCAGTAATATGACAATCAAAAAATTCATTTAAAGATTACCTATTAATTTCAATATAAAGCTTTATTTTATAATATATCAAATATGAAACAATAAAATTTACTAAACCAAAAAAGACAGAATATAAAATAACAGAGTCAATATTTTAAAAAATAAAATATTAAAATTTGTAAATCTATCTATAGAAGCACAATAAGAGATGAAATAAAAATTGAAGGGAAAATTAAAATTATAAAAAAAAACAATAAAACTAATTTTATATTACAATTGCAAAAATATTCTAAAACAAATGATAATATAAAATCACAAAAGCAAAAAGAATTTAAAACAAATGATAATATAAAATCACAAAAGCAAAAAGAATTTAAAACAAATAATAATATAAAATTTAAGGTTTTGATAAAATAATAATATACCAACTCCAGAAACTCCAGAATTTTTTTTAGCACTACACTTGTTCTTTGATTATCAATTGAAAAAACTTCATATTCATCAACAGTAAAATGACCCGAATTAGTTATTCTATTATAATAATTCCTATGTGCATATCTCCAACAATCTAAATTCATATTTAAATCTAAAGCTCCAAAGCAAATCCCATGATATTTATCGCTCCAGATAGGCTTATTAGTTCTTTCTGTAATCACTCTACTTAATATTGGATTTGATGGATCTGTAAATGAAAAAATAAAACTATTTGAAGTTTTACTAGAATACGGTATCTCTTTAAATCTAAAATATCCATCATAAAATTCAAGATTAAAAAAAGTATTATTCAATTTAGCCCAATAAGTAGGACTATATCCACCTATCAATTCACCAGTTTCTTTAATCTTAAGTATTACAATAGTTGGACCTTGAAAATCGCATAATTCATGAAATCTATTAATATCAAAGCCATCTCTACTTCCACGTAATAAAAGTTTAAACTTATAAGGATCAGTAATATTGGTATAATAATTACTGTTTTTTTGATCAATCCAACTTGAGATTGTAGTTTTAATATCATCAGACAAATTTGAGATATTTTCATCAAGAAGATTTTTAGAATTAGCAATACCCCATTTAATCAAATAATTCCAAACTTCTACTTCTTCAATATCGAGATCACCCCTTTTTAAAAGACATATCAGAGCCAATTTATCCAATGTTAAAAATTGGTTAGAATCAAAAAGTGAATAAGGATTTTTGCAAGTAAAATTTAAAACATGATTATATAATTTATGGAAATGATCATGTTGACAAACAAAATTAAGTGATGTTATAAGATTCGAAAATAACCAAGAAGAATGTTCTTTAATTAAGCGCTTTTGTGCACATTCCGCAAGGTCAAGAAGTTCAAGTTCATCACATGCAGCCAGTAAATTTAAACAAGTTTCGGCAGATGCTTGTAATTTAGTTTCTTCTTTATAAATGTAACTTATAAATTATTTAAAAAAATTTCATTACGTATAATTACTATAAAAGTTATGAATGCATTAATAAAAGATATGCATGTAATTAAATAAAAGCATAATACATACTCAAGAATAATCTTAAAAGTATTTGGATAAATATTTGGATTTTTAAAAACATAAAAACCATGTTCCTTGTTATTCCATCGCTCGGATAAAGCTATTTGAAAATAAAGAGAACGTGAACTTAAAATAGTTGAATGTGCTTTAAATTCTTTAGTATCTTGTCCATTTCCAACGATTATTTTTACGTCAAATTCACTATCGCTGTAAGTTTTTAAACTCATTTTGGTCAACCTTTACGCACTTGAATGTACGTACGCACATACATATGTACAATAAATCAAATAAATCACTAAAATGATTATCAGTTAATCGGTTACAAAACTAAAAGAGGAATGTTCAAAAAAGGTCTTCACGTTACAATAGGCTAAATATCATTACTATTTTAAAGTTTTCTCAGTAACAAGATGCTGCAATGTCATTATCTGCCCAAATCAGTGTAAATGCTTATAAAGAATTTTAGTGTTTTAATATCTAGATAACACTAGTGCACCCACGATAAAATTTTCACCCTACCTTGTAATTTTGCCAATCAAATTTACAAGAAAAAAAAACAGAAGTAGTGTTAATTAATAAACAATTTAAATATTTTTTGTAAAGTCTTATTAATAACCACTAAACTACTCGAAGCCTAACCTTAATTATGACTAATGATGGGTGACGCATGACGCAACTTGGTCATTGACGCATGACGAAACCATTTCGTCAGGCAACTTCGAATTGACGAAATGACGCATGACGCAACTTATGACG